TCAGTTTCCGCTGGGAGTATGCAGTTGCCAGGGGTATGGTTCATGTTCTGAGGTTAAATTGACTTCAAAACTGCCATGTTTCGGAGCTACCCTTTCACTAATGCAGATTTTTTGGTATTATGAAGGCATAGTTTGTGGAAACAGTAATGTTTGCACAGAATTATGACTCTATTTGCTAACGATTATAATCGATTACTCGACCGTTAAGCTAAAGAGTAATCGATACTTGAAAATCCACGATCGTTTCAGCCCTAGTTTGAACTGCTGCTTCGTGTTGTAGAGTAGAATGTCTCTTATCCGGTCACTTTGGGGGACCGAAGGGTGCCAGCACCTGCGAATCATCCATGACTCTGAATATCGCTCCAACCATCATTGATAGGACCCACGACTGCCTTCAGTTGGGATTACTGAACCAAGATCATTACCATTCACAAGCACACACAATAGGAGCTGGTGATTGTCACCGAGATGATCACCACCAGTAGGAGGACATGTTCAAGATATGACCACAGGTATCTGCATGTAAAGTGCCCGGGGTGTGGGAGATCCGGATAGGAGAGATTCTTCTATACTCCTAAGTTAAGGCTTGGGCAGGAATTCATGTAGCCAATATCAGATGTGCATGCTGTGCGTTCTTGTCAACTACTGTTTGTTTGCAGCTAAATCAGCCATTGGCTGCCGGCTTCCGCGCCCGCACGGACCCAATGGTTCACAGTGTAAGTCATCTCAACAGTCAAACTACTTTCTTACATTTTTCTTCTTCTTTGAAAATTGCGGATCTGTGACTACTGCGTGGGGAATATCTCATGTCAGAATGACCCAACTGTGCTTGCACAGTGCTCGTGGATGTTACGGGGACACTCGTAGAACTTCAATTGGAGTTCACTGAGGCTCCTCCAATTATAATACTGCCATGTGACATTTTAAATACATATGCCTCCTGGTTACAACTTCCAGTAATGTATGATTTATTTTGCTAATTACTACAGTCATTTGGAATCCTGGTGTCTTATCCAAAATTGCCAAGTGCCGGTGCAGGATTCTTGTAATATGCAGGAGGTGCTCTGCCTATCTGAACAGGACAGACCTAGAACTCTTCTAAGCCATGCATAAGCTTGTTCAAACTGCTCCTCGTTCGTGTGTTCACTCATTGCTTAACACATTCATAGTATTAAGCGGGATTCACAGAAGCTTTTTTGCGATGCGACACGCGATGCGACGCGATCTGCGATGGATGCGTGCGATGCGAACTCGCGAAATACCATTCACAGAAGAAGTCAACGATGCGACAAAGTTTTGCTGATTTGGGTACGTCACCATGATATTCGCGCGGTTTGACACAACTTGTAAAAATTTCAAGGCAACTCTTGCACCTTTGTACAACTTTGCTGTAGAAAAGGTCAAAATCGTACACCAAATCGCTTGTCGCATCGCATCGCAAAAGTTGAGCCAAGCTCAACTTCTGCGATGGCCTGCGATGGCCCAGTTGCGGCAGTTGCGTGGGGTGCGACATGGCTGCGATTTGGGGTTTTCCCGGTTTCGCGTCTGTCGCATCGCGTGTCGCATCGCGTGTCGCATCGCAAAAAAGCTTCTGTGAATCCCGCTTTAAACCTGTGGAAATAGAAATACGCTGCTCTGGAAATTACGTTGTAGCCATGTTTGTCCTTTCCCGTTGCAGGTTGAAGTCGAGAAGGAAATCGAGCAGCTCGGAGAAGAAGCAGCTTCGTTCATGGCCAAGTACCATGATGTCAGGTTCGGCGAAGCCTTTCCATGGACGGTGAGTGACTTTTAAATCAGTTACCCAGTATGTCATCTTGCCTTCTACTGGTATTTGCCTGGGTTTCCCCTTTTGCTTGAGTGGAATTACGGACGCAATTGTGTGTGATGTGTAGAGGGATATTACTGTTGTAGTACACAATACGCTGTGCTTACGATGCGTTCGTCCACAACTGGCACCCTAACTTTTTAGTGTTTTGAGCATTGAGTGGTAGATACTAGATACACAGTGAGACCTGTCTAAGGCGACCACTCAAGGGACCTTCCAAATGTGGTCCCCGCGAGCAGGTGGTCTCCGTATCCAGGATCATTTGACTAGAAATAACACCCTTGGGTCCTAGTTGTGGTGGTCCTCTGGGACAGGTGGTCGCCTTCACGGGTTTACTGTACGTGCCATTTTTCCTTGCCACATTTAATATGAGGGTAGAAATGTCGAAAGAGAATAAGTTGGAAATTTGATCGCTGACCACCAGCGCAACTGAAGACTTTTGCTTATGTATTCTTGATGTTGTTGTGGGGTCTTTGAAGTGATTCAACGAAACTCGGTGACACTTCGTTTCTATCTTGCCCGCGTATCTACGAGTGGATTGGATTGCTGTCGCTGTGCGTTGTTTTCTCAGGATCCTGCCAAGCCACCGGATAACATGGGTCAACGGCTCGGCTGTAAGTCTCAAGCTCAGGTTTCTCCCATTTCCAGTCATGTACAGGTTTGCTGTGGAGTCACTAGTGGTTTTCCTGTGAACTCCACTTTGAGCGCAGGGACATCCATGCCTCAATTTACTGTCTGACCAACCGTTGTTTCCCTTGCGTGCTCTTTTGTTATCGTAGGGTATGCGGATCGGCTGGACATTGACGGAGTGAATGAGACACGCCAGGAGCTCATAGAGTCTCGCAGTGAGTACTATCAACATTCAGTGGCGTGTCCAGGATTTGGCTGAGGGGGGGTTGCGGCCATCAAGGCAGGATGGGGTGGGGGTAGATGACATCATGCTACTGTCCCAGGTCAGCCATTTTGAAAACCAATGTCAAGAAGCTCCTCCTTTAGCCCCTTCTTCAACAGTTATTCACCCGAACGGCCCCAGAGACTGTTCCGGAGGATCAGCGCACCACACAGGGACAAGTGTCGAACTTGCTTCAAGTTCCCTTTCTCCGTGGGCCTGCGGTACGATCGAGCATGTTTTGGGGAAGCATTCTCTGGAACGCTCTCCCCTCTGATTTTAGAGTGATACGTGTCCCTGGTTCCTTCCGAAAAGCTCTTTCTGCCATTGATATACTTACTTTGTCCTCGTTAAACTTTTATTATCTGCCATAAATTCCAACCTTCTCATCTATCAATCATTTGTGCATGCATGTCTATAAAATCAACCACGTGTTCCTGACTCCATGAGATTGTCTTTCAATTCTTTGACTCCATGAGATTGTCTTTCAATTCTTTGACTCCATGAAATTATTGTCTTTCTATTTCTGACTCCATGAAATTGTTCTTGATATAAATTTTCCCTTTCATCTTTTGGTCCTTTCTGTCTTATAAGTTATATTATTATTATTATCATTTCTTGTTTTCCCTTGCATATCATCCCTTCATCATTCTGTGAGAACCTGTTCTATGGGCAGGTGAGAAGGCATCTCTGCCTGTTCCGGCATTTGGTGAAGTAAAATAAACAACAACAACAACAACAACAACAACAAGCCGTAAATCTCACACACCACGAGCAGTATTTCTGTAAACGCAGCAACAAAATTGTAAACTTCAAATTTGCGAGTCCAACAATTTCTCACCGCTCTCAAAGTATCCTTTACATAGGCAGCGGTACTTGTCACTGTGCGCTGTTCTTTATGTTCTGGCTGCTCGCTGACAACAGGTTCTTCCACGTCTGGCGGAGTTTGACTGTCAGTCCGCTCCGAAAGTTCAACTGGATTGTCTGGAATAACAGCGACTTCATCATTCCCACTGTTTCCTGTTGGAGCGGCAGCAGGAGTTGCGCCGCCACAGGAACGCTTTACAAAAATTCCAGGCTCTGCTGGCTAGAGCTTGGCCTTTTGGGATGTCCCTGAGACATCGAAGAAAAGCCTTCGAGTCAACCAAAACACGATTCGAACGAGGATGATCGCCTGAGCCCTCGGCATTCGAATCGTGTTTTGGTTGACTCGATCGAAGACTTTTCTTCGATGTTTGTACCGTTGAAGACGCGTCGAGCGCGTCCCAGCAGGGATCACACTGTACAACAGTACACAGTCAGGTCACCGTGTTTCTGTAGCCGTGCATGCTCACTGTACGTAGACCATGGTAGACTCTACTCTAGCTCTGTAGACTGTACAGTGTACTGTAGTCCGTAGTGTGTACAATCAACACCAGCTCGAGCACCGCACCGTGCAACCGCTTTTGGACAATCGTTTCAGGCCGCGCGCGCCCCGAGCCTAGTCTACCTAGTGTAGCTCGACCTGGCGCGCGCCCTGTATTATTTTTTCGAAACCTAGGTCGAAATTTTTGAGGGGGGGGGGGGCGCGCGCCCCCCGCGCCCCCCCCTAAACCCGCCACTGATGTTAACTTATGTTGGTCTCTGCTGTTTCCAGGTTGAGTGAAGCTATGTTAGTATTGGCAGTGCCTATTGGGGTCGGCAATGATGAAATAGTCTCACGACTCGTGTGTGAGTGTCGGTTAGACTGGCTTTTCCGCATCCGCTGGAATGCCACCAACCTTGAGAATCAGGGCACAAATGCTTCTCCTAGACCAGTGGGAGATGTGTAGAGCAGACATATCGCCAAAGTGTCCAGTGTGTGTGTGCGTGTGCGCGTCCATGTGTGTTTTCATTAGGGCTCAAACGATTAGTCCGATTAACCGGTTGCAGACCGGTTACGAAGAATGAACGGTTAACCGATAAAGATAACGGTTACGCAGTAACTTTTCAGTCAATTTTTCAAGTATCAGGTCGTTGCAAAGTGTGCACTTTCGCGGGCTGTCGCACGCGTACGCAATTTCTGGGCTGTCAACTCGGTCATATCTGGTCTCTTGGTGTGAGAGTATGTATGAATGAGCATGCAAGAGAATGTACAAGTGTGCGTTGTACTGAATAGGGTACATTTTTTGAATGAGTATAGTCAAATATACGGTTAAAAAAGAGTCCGCAGGATTGCCGTGGCTTATAGGTTATAACCGGTTAACCGACCGTTAGCTTAGCAGTTAACCGTCAGGGGTAAAACCGTGACCGTTTGAGCCCTAGTTTTCATGTGTGTGCGCACGCGCGTTTGTGTATGTGCACGTGTGTTTAATACTGTTTATGCGTGTTTGCATGCACTTCACATTTGTGGATAATGTATATTCTTTGTGCTATGTGCATCTCTATTGTCCTGGCTGCAGAGCTAACACAACACCTGGAAAACTGCTGGTTGGATGCATGCCTCTCCTGGCGCATCATTGACTTTGAAATCCAGTAAGTACTAATAAATGTGCACTAACGCTGGGAGTTGGCATACTGAATCACTCATAACCTGCCAGACTTTTTATTTTTGTAAACTAATGTTGAAAACATCTTTAAACTCGGATGTTGAGCCGATAGTATTCATGTACATCCGAAAACATCCGAGTTTAATGTTGAAAACGGTTTGCTTATTGCGTTTTTCGTTCTGTGAATGTAGGCGGGTTGATGCGATTGATGAAGGCCGAGGACCTGATGCAGAAACACAGCTGCTGATGGAGGAGGATCTACTCAGCCAGCTGCGTTCGACGTGGAGTGAAGTCGTGATGAAGGACAGCGTAACACACGGTCTCTATGCCTCTACGCTGGCTCATGTAAGAACCTGGCTGTGAACTGAATTGATGATACATGTGATTATACTAGCGATCTGTAGTGTGCTCTGGGATTTCAACGAGCACAAACAGACATAGAATTCAAAAGGGTGCAAACAACATACAGTGTAGAATTCAAGGAGTGAAAACGAATTCAATTAGAATTCAATGAGTACAAATAAATGTGTGCATGGTGGTGTCCGCCACCGGAGCATGTTTACTGAATTTATTTCACGGGCAGTTCAGTGTCAGCATAGTTTGCGATTGAAGAAGTCACCGCATTGAGCGGAATCTGTCAAGCATTGGTGAGATATAAGCTCATTCACTAAAGTGGCATGTCTTCCCTGTTGTTGATATGTTTGGCTTGGTGTACTACAGTGCTGGCAACTGAAATCCGACCCCCTGAGCGGTGCGCTCACATCGCAAAGAATGTGAACCCACCGCTCAGGGGGTCGGATTTCAGTTGCCAGCACTGTACATGCACTGCAAGTATATCATGTAGTAAAAGGTGGGTATGAGTCGCACAGCAGCTCAATGTGTGGGCATGACAATTGTTGTGAACCCCCTTGATTCTCTAAATTGTCAGGAACGAACGACCACACGGCACGAGGACAACTATTGAATCTTAACGGTATATTTCACTCCGATCGAATAAACTAACACTACAACAACCAGGTAGTTATAGCGTGAAAATGACAGCGTATATCAGAAACGCATACACATTCAACATACAACTACAGCGCACACAGCAAGTCGCACATAGCGCATGTAGCTTATGCCACGTCGTAAACATCAGCGATACGGCAGAGTCGAGATACAACTGCATTGAAACAAACACAATGTCACATATAACAAGCGAGAAGGCCTTTCACACTTGAGAACTTGTGGTTTCGTAACAACAAGCAAGACACACTGGCTCATGTCTGCATGCGCCTGCACCCGCAAGATCCATGCATGGCAGGCAGCAGCACCGGCGACAGTTGATAGACAGACAGTATGCTGACAGTCAGTGTGTGTGCAACACACGGTTACTGTCCAGTGGCTGCAGCATGGTAGGCAGCACCGGCGACAGTTGATAGACAGACAGTATGCTGACAGTCAGTATGTGCAGCACATGGTTACTCTCCTTTGGCTGCAGCATGGTAGGCAGCACCGGCGACAGTTGATAGACAGACGGTATGATGACAATCAGTACTCTCCAGTGGCTGCAGCATGGTAGGTCTAACAGTGCTTGTGTCCTGCATGTTGTTTTAGATCTGTCAACCGGCAATATCAATCACTGCCGTGGAAAGTGCGCACGAGGATGGTTTCCAAGGTGAGACACGTGAACAGTTTTGCAATACGTATTTTGTGGCAATTCTGTACTGTATCAATGATGTGTTTTTGAGAGAATTCGTCTGGTAAAACAGAATGGATCCAGGCTGTTCAGAACTAGTCTGGTAGTAAATCCTGGCATAGTTGGCACTTGAATCCAGCATTAGGGAAGTTTTTGGTTTTCTGTGTACTGTAACTTGAGCAGTGTTGGGCGCCTTCTGCAGGACCTGCTATCAGTGTTGAATGTGTACGACCTGTATTATTTTTTGCCCTGTTCATGTGCCTTTGTGTGTGCCTGTGTGTGTGTGTGTACGTGCGCGTGCGTGCATGTGTGCATGTTCAGTCCCGTTGACCACCTTCCAGTACATGTTGGAGAAGCTGCCCAAGAGCTGGGACAGGCGAACACCGCCACTTGAAGATGCTGCCAAGGTGGAAGAAGTGATGGTATGCTCTTTACAAGATGTACAACCTACTGCTGGTGTTCTGATATCACTGTATGTGTCAGTTTAGGAAATCTTGTGTGTGGCTGTGGGGGGGGGGGGGGGGGGGGGGTTATACATGACATGCATGGATGGTGAACTGGTGTGGGTGCTTGATTACGCTGATCTTACGATATACGTGTGGGTGTAATCATCATACAATCGTGTCACACTGGTGTTGTGTTCGACTCGGCTTCAAGTACTGGATGTGGCCTTTCCTTGTGTTCTCTTCAGAATGTGCTGACCCTGATGACTGTTGGACCCAGAGCTGCACAACCAGATGCATGTAAGTACATGACCCACATGAGAGATGGTGCAGTGGAGAAGTTCAGCGAGCTGTGCAACACACGTTTATGACGCGTTAGCATCTTGCCCGCCTGACTGTTGGCTACACTGTATTCGATGAGTTATTCTCCAGTTGCACTCGTGACATAACTTGTGACGTGACACATTCTCGCAAAGCCTCCCGAGTGCAGAGCCCTGTGCATGATACTAGCACCCGTACACCAGTATGTCTCCCCAGCATTGGCTGCAGGAGTCCCATCCGGGTGGCTTTGGTTGAGAAGGCAAAGGCGTCGGAGGAGAGGAGTTCTGCCGCCTCTGTTTTGTCGAACTTTGTCAATTAGGGGGTCTCTAATAGCTTGCTTGCCTTGGGTCGGAACTGCTTTTAGGCCACCTCTTTGCTCCTTCGCTTCCTTCACTTTGCTGTTGCTGTGTCATTTTGACTGTGTTTGCAGTGACGTTCCAGCGAGCGTGCTCTGCATTCCACTATGCTGGTATGCCTGGTGCAAACAAAGTGTTCAGCATCCTGGCTGAGATGGACTACTGTAGGACGGGTGAGTTTGTCTTCTCGTAGCATTCCAGCTCGTGTGTATGAATGTGTGTGTATGTATGTGTGTATATGTGTGTGTGCGTGTGTTTGAGCAGAGCCAGGGATGCGTGCAAGGGATCCCTGAGCAGAGCCAGGCATGCGTTCCGTTGTAGAGTTGCCCCTGTGGCTGCAGCGAAATTAGATGGATGGCAGTGTGTTCGATATGTTTGTAGGCCGGCCTTCCAACTCAGTGGACGTAGGTCACCCCAGGGGCTCAGCAGCACTGTGATGTCCTAGAGTAGAAACTAGTAACTGCTGCTCTGATTGCTGTGATTGTTGTGACAAGCAACACCAGATCCATCCATGTCAAGTGGAAGCTCCCTTTAGTGGACACCTATCAGTCACTGTGAGGACAAATACATGATACAGACAAACTCAACAGTACTACCAGCTGCTATACAGTGCACATGTACTTTGTAGAATCAGCACTACATGCTTCACTATGATACACAGACCCAACAGTACACTCACCGTGTGCTGTCTCTTCACCCTGGGCAGTGGCTACTGACTTTTGGTGGTCAGGTGTTCTGTGTGCCTGGGCGCAATGTCACGCCTCACCACTACTGTACATGCATGCCTGTACTGAAGTACTACATTGCTGAACTGCTCAGTGCTTGCCAAGCGCTCTTTGCTTAGTGCTCTGTGTTTGATGTTGGGTTGTTTGTGTCACCTTCTGATTGGCCTGACCAGGAGAGCTTACATGACCTGTAGTGTAGAGCTGTTATGGCAGGGTCTGCCTGTGCTGCTGTTCAGTTTACACAGGAGTCTGGAGATAGCAGTTGTACTTTGCTTAGCTTCTCTTCTTGCTAAACTCAGTGAGCTGCTAGACCTCCCTGCTCTGAGGAAACTCGTGTCTACCTTTGTGTAAAGAAGCTTGCCATGTCTTAGAGTTCTGTGCAGCAAGGATATGGAACTCCTTTGACTGTTTCTCTCCCTGCTTTTCATTGCCTTTCAACTTCTTTTTTCACTATCCTGCCTTTCTTTCATATTCCCTCTGTCTCCACTTATCTTTTTGTCAGTCTTATTCCCTGTCCTCTCCTTTTTCCTTACTCCTCTTTTTCTTCTTCTTCTTTTTCTTGTTACTCTTGCTATTCTTGTGATTTGTTGTTGTTGTTTTTGTTGTTGTTGTTGTTGTTGTTGTTGTTGTTGTTGTTGTTGTTGTTGTTGTTGTTGTTGTTGTTGTTGTTTTTGTTGTTGTTTTTGTTGTTGTTGTTGTTGTTGTTGTTGTTGTTGTTGTTGTTGTTGTTGTTGTTGTTGTTGTTGTTATTGTTGTTTTTTATTCTCACGTCGTTGTTGTTGTTGCTAACATGTTGCTTGTGTTCTTCTTGTCATTGGTATGTTTGCTGTGCAGAAGCCACTTTAGGTACCTACTACTATGTGTTCAGTGCTGCCATGAACTACCTCAGTAAGTTAATGACTGGCTGTTATAGGCTGTTCATACTACGTTACAATACGCGTCACGTTTTGGAATACGACGTACTGGCAGACGTCGTTTTCATGCAGGTGCATTCACACAGGCCAGCGCACGCTGCTCGTACAGCTGTGTGTACAGCTTCTTTTGGACACAAACTGCTGGGAACGACAGAACGAAACTCGGTACAGGGTCTGGATACGTCGTCTACGTTTTCGTATCAGGGGGTACGATTTTCCCGCCACGTTCCATGTTGTCATGGCTATCCGGACGAAAACGTCACGTACGCCACGTTCCGGGCGTAGTGTGAATGGCCCATTAGCCCTGTGCTGCTGCTGCTGCTGCCCTGTGCTGCTGCTGCT